TATTAGGATGTGAAATATCTCTTAAGATTGTTTTGAAGTTATATTTTTCACTTAGTTTTATGTTTTAAATTATTTTTTATTTTATTTGTATTATTCATAATCCTTTACATATAATTTAGGTGTAAATGAGAATGAATGATAACGGTTATAAATCCTTATTTTACATATCGGTTATATGTAAAAGAGTAATTGAATTTGTCTTACACATTTAAAAAATGAATAATAAGACTTTGTTGTTCAATATTTGGTTTCTATTTTTAATTTTATAATTCAATTAGAATTGAAAATGAACTTCATTTGAATTTCAATTGAAATTCATTGTCTCGTTATTTATCTTTTTTTTTAAAAAAAACCTAAAAGAATGTTCTCCCGTTATTATTGTGATGACTTCCACTTAAAATATTGAATTCTACTTGAATTAACTTGAAGATTCAATAGAAGAAAAAAGACTAATACAATTAATATTAAATTACATTAAGAAATTAAACAGCCAATGATAAATTATTGGTTGTTAGTTTGTAATAAGTTTTGGAGAAAGCATTTGAACCCAATACTGAAGTGTTGAAGGTGTTAGGTCTTGATATTGTTCTGGAAATTCTTCAATTAACGTTCTAACTGTTTTTGTTAAACCTAGTTCATAAAACTTTTTTACTGCATTTAATTTGATCGCTTGGTTCCATCTTTTCTTCTTTTGAACTCTTTTTTTAGGACTTTTTCCATCAACAACCTCAAAAGTTGATGGCTCAGCTGGTCGAAAGACAGATAATTTGGAGTTTGTCATAAATGAATATTATATATGAAACTTAAGTTCTGGAGGTACTATTTAAAAGAGAAAAGACTAATAGTAAAAAGATAATAATTAAAATCATTCAATGAATAAACCTATTTCTTTTTCATTTCATTCAAAAAACATACCCATTGAACTTTTCTAGAATTATTTGTTTATAAAAAATTTGAATTTCAATTGAAGTTTAATTGAAACTCAACTTAATTATAAATTATCCGAATAATTTTCTATTTTTATTTATAATTTTTTCTATTTAATTTTTTAATATTTTTGTTTATTGTCTTGTATAACATCTACCATCCTTCATTAAAGAGTTAATAGATATAAATTAGTGGGTTTTGTTTGTTTTTATAATATCCTTAATTGATTTACAATTAAATTTATGAAACTCTCACAATCAATTTATATCAAAAGCAGAACATTTCTTTAACCCTCAAAAATATATATGTGATGAAAATGAGTTAAATTATTTTTTCATTAAAATTTAATAAGATTATAAACGTTATCATAGAAGTTATTTCAAAATACCTAAGTCAAGACTAATATCATAAAAAATTATTCATTTGTTTTTATTAAAATTTATATTATTTTTTTTCAAACCATTTGGTTCTTTGTATATACAATTTCATTCATTTGTTAGTATAAATTGTATATAATATGTAGTACACTACAATTAAATAATGTTTCATGTCGTAACTCTATTTAACAAATAAAATAATTTATATTTACAATAAATAATATCTGAATATAAACATAATGTATATAATTCTTAAATTACTGCTCATAATAATAAACAAAATAAAATTGAATTATTAATTTCATCGATGGTATCATTAATAGGTTTTTTTATTTCAACACCAAAGATGTTTTATTATCTATAATATATAGAATTTTTATATTCTAACTAAAATTAAAAATATAATTTATTTAATACTAAATGATCTGAATATATATTATTATATTATTACATATTTTCCTTTGAATAATAATGACACATTTCTTTCATTTTTGTATTATGACTAACAAATTATACATTGTTAATTCAATAATGGAGTATTTAATCATTTTGTGTTGTAATAAAATAAAAATAATAAATGTTCTGATAGAGTAGAATTACAAAAAAAGAATTATGTGCCAATATTAAAAGAGAACATATTATATTTTTTAATTTTATATCAGTAGTACAATATTTTAACTATAAAATAATATTATAATAATTATTACATTATATATTACTATCATTATAGTATAACTTTTCATTAAAATATCTTGAATTTATTACTCAGCATGATAAGAGAATAGAATAGAAGAATATATCGATATATGATACAATATAAACGATGTTTTTATTCATAAACTAATATCAGTATTTGCTTAGTATTTGATGGTATATTTTTATTTAAATCAGTAACCATTCTATCAAAATATTTCATTTTATTAAGAAAATTAATTTTTTATTTGAAAAATAATTTTATTGTTCACTAGAATTATATTAGTTAATTTTAATTTTTTTTTTGAGTTTTTATGTTTTTTTTACCATTGTTCTACTATCGTATCATCAGTTCATGAAAAATGGTTTATATTTTCTTAATATTTTTCTCTGAAGTTATTGTATTATAGATGTATGTTATTATTAAAATATTCTAAGAAAATATAATGGTTGTTCAACTCTTTTATTTAATTTCACATTTTTTAGTTTTGTTATGAAATTATTATAAAATATCAATGAACTATTCTTTAATGATATAATAAATAATAATCAATATATCATTTCATTTTAATACTCGGTTATTTGTTTGAGGCATAAGAGTAGATTGAAAATATGACCAATTAAGGTTTTTTCCAAATTAAAAAATAAAAATAATGAAAATTATTATTATGACAAAGAATTCCTGTTGTTCTTTGCTTTTATTCTGCACAATCATAATTATTAATCCTTTAATTTGTTTCAATTATTTAAATTAAAATGATTAGTTTTAATGATGTAATTGTAAATGACTATGGTATATAATTGACATAAATGTTATGAATTATTTACTCTTATATATTTAACTTATCTTTTAATTCTTATCATTCTTGATTATTTAAAATGATACTAGTTTGAATATTATATTTAATTAAATGAATAGTGATATCATTGTAACAAAGAAGGTAATTAATAGACATGATGATCCATCAAGATTATTATGTGAATTTGATTCATTACTTAGTTCATTTTCTGAACTTTCAGAAGTAATATTTGTTTTATTATATTTATCTTTCTCATCATTTCCTGTTTGTTGTTTATCTCCATTTTGTTCTTTTGATTCTTCCTTTGTGTTTGGTTGATTTTGTTTACTTTTTTCATTGTTCTCATCTTTTCCTTGTTGTTCATTTGATTTATCCTTTTTAGTATTTTCATCTTTAGGTTCTTCATTTTTACCTGTTGTATCAGAATTACCTGTGTCCGAAGTTCCTTTATTACCATTTTCTACTCCATCTGTTCCGGTACTTCCTTTATCAATTTTATTATCAGCTCCTTCTCCGTTCTTTTCCTTTTCTGTTGTTTTACTTGGATCATCACCTCCTGTATTTCCTGTTATACCAGAGCTACCTGCTCCATTATTTTCCCCTTGACCTTCACTCCCTTTTCCTCCATTTTCTGTATTTGCTGTTTCACCGCTTCCTGTTTGGGTTTCACTATTTCCTTTATCATTTGCTCCACTGCTTGGAGATCCTCCACTGTTTTTTGAATCATTCTGTCCTTTTTCATCATTTCTTGATTCTGTTTTTTCTTCTTTACTATTCCCTCCTACACCAGCGTCTTTTGATGAACTACTTCCTGTTCCTGAATTTTGTTCAACGTTTGTTCCTTCTTTTCCAGGGTCACTACTTCCTGGTTTTTTACTATCTCCTGAACTACTAGGATTGTGTTCAGCATCACCCATTCCTGTAGTTCCAGGACTACCTCCAGCGCCACCACTTACTGGCTCCTTTTCTTCCGTCTCAGTACTTCTACTACTAGTTTGTCCTTTAGCTTCTTGCTCACTGATTCCTGGAGATACAGTATTTGTCTGAACACCAGCAGTAGTTGTGCTTCCTGGCCCTTGTGCTCCTGCTTTTCCTGTATCAGTGCTGCTTGTTTCATGGTTACTGGTGCTTATTGTAGAGCTTTCTGTTACGGAATTTTTATCAGATATTCCTTTGTTATGACCTTCTTCATTTTGACCACCGCTTTCTAATATTTTTTCATTTGGTACTGGTGTTTTTATTGCTCCTGGTACTCCATTTACTCCTGGAGATGTTAACTTTTCTTCTTCAGTCACTTGGTGTTCTTCACCTTTTAAATGTATATTATATTTAT